AGAAACAGGTCACTTTCACCCAATCTCAGAGACGCACCTCTCTTCACCACGAATAAAAAACACTCTCTTCATCACGAATCAAAACACCACTACACCAGCAGTACAATTCACACACACAAAAAAGAAAGAGCACACCAGAATTTCCCCAAATATCTAACTGCAACCATATATTATATCAAGTAAACAAACAGGTAGCAACACATAAACTAATGCCTGGATTAGTCTAAGGTTAGATCAGATACAGAGTACCCAGAGGCCCACTATAATACCATGGCTCAGGGACCTCTGCTCATGGATTTTATATATTACAAACACCAGGGCATGACAAGGCTGTGGGAACGGCACCACTAGCCTAAATCATGTTCACCAGCCAATCTTAGAATATTGGTTTCTCTTTCAAATGAAGACAATCAAGCATGTTCGTGGCAATCTGTTTGAACTGATAAAGAACAAGAATAAACACAGGACCGGACCCCCCATGTTTGAACTAATCAAGAATATGCACGCAACAGCATGGTATAGGCATGCTCATGTGTGCCTTTCAAAAAGGAGCCTACTTTTTTCCCCATTCCTGAAAAGATAGGCACAATTGTACATAATATATGCACCAAGCAAGACTATGGCATATTCTGCTGCTTGCATCCCTATCTAGCTTACCCGTACATAAGCATCATCGACAGAACAACCAATGCCAATCTGTTACTTCAAGGTTTAGAAACAGCTATCAAGCATACAGAGACATCTGGTAATGCCAGACCTGAAGTAAAGCAATGATTGATAAGTTAACTCACAGAAATTAGTGTCTGACCAAGTCAAGCAAGACAGGGATGTTGTCAAGGCCAAAAGGTGGAGCTTTGGGTCGGGTTGCTCACCAGCGGGCTAGGTGAAGGCGGATCGCGTGACGCCGGTCGGGGTCGGTGCAGGCAGGGCCGGTGCAGAGGTGCGCGCACCGGCGTTCGTGGTGACGACGAGGTGGCTCCGAGAGGTCACGCCGGGGTTCTGGACGCGGAGCGTTGGACGCGGCGCTGCGGTCCGTGGTGGCGAAGGCTCGAGGAGGTCTAGGGCTCCAAGAGGCGTCGTGGCCGTGGTGGAGTAGGTCCTGGGCGGCGGCTTCCGGCTTGGTGACGAAGAGGTGGCTTGGTGACGAAGAGGCGGGGTAGGCGGCGGGGTGCGGGGCGGGCAGGCGGCGGGGTGCGGGCGTAGGGCAAGCGGCGAGCGCGGAGGAGGCGGCGCTGGCGCGCGCGAGAGGGCCGCTGCGGTGTGCGGGGCAGGCGGCCGGGCGCGGGTGGCTGTGTGTGTGCGTGCGTGTGTGCGTCGCGGCCAGCCCAGTGGGGTGGATATGAGGGGGGGTGCCGAGTGCCCCTGATCTGACACTCGGGAAACCCCAGATTTGTCGAGTGCCAGATGAGTGGCACTTGGCAAACCCTTTTTTTCATTTTCACACTGTGCGTGTGTGCGGCCGGTTGGGGGGGGGTTGCCAGAGTGTCCTAGACCTGACACTCGGCAAACCCAGTTTTTTTTATTTTTCTTCTTTTCCTTCTTTTCCATACCGTGTTTTTCTAAATTTGTTCCAAGGAAGGACTTTATCTGGGAGAGTTAATTTCAATCATAGCAAGACAAGGCTGTAGCTAAAAGAAACTAACAGTCAAGGCATGACCCAGGGAGGGTTCATGCTGATACTAGTCAAATTGGACAACAATGACAGCTAAATAACTGATTGAACTAGCATGTCACTCCCATATTTCATCAGTACAATCCCAACTGTACCTAGCTTAGGCATGGCATTTCTTGTTGAAGCATGAACCATTTAGCAAGACAAGGCTTACCCAACTGTACCTAGCTTAGGCATGGCATTTCTTCTATAGTCCTGTAGTTACCTAGACCAAATGCATTTGATATATGACCAGCGACTGACTACTTGTGTAACCAACTCATCTTTTCTTTGCAAATGATTAGATGCACCAACTAACATTTTATTTGATCTTTCAGTTGATAACTTGCATCTAGGTGGTCAAGGCTCTAAGGAGAGCCTGTGCCCGTAATCAGACACAGGTTCAGAGTAGTGCTAATGTTTATAGGAAGGTTGAAAACGACACAATACACTAGCAAATTATTGGGGGTTTAGAGTTTCTAGCAATACACTAGCAAACTGATCTACTAACTCATGCTCAAATAGACATTTCATCACACTAACTCTACATCACATTATCTGTTTAACAACACATTTTCAAGGTCAGAAGAGAAAAAAACTTATTATTTCATGTGGTTATAGCTTAAATTCAATCTATATCAATTAAAATCCTATAATTGCCCTTAATAAATTAAGGGCCTGTTTGGCAGGGCTCTGGCTCCTCTGAAAATGGCTCCGGCTCTGGCTCCTCTGAAGGAGCAGCTCCTCTGGAGGAGCTGAAGCCGTTCTGGAAAACGTTTGACAAAACGGCTCCTTCGCACTAGACGACGTGAACCCACATCAAGGAGCCGCGCGAAGCTCGTTTTTGAGGCTTCTCCTGCGCAGGCAAAAAATGGCTCCGGCTCTTGACCGGCTCCCCATGCAGAGCCCTTTCCAAAACAGGCGTTTGGCACAGCTCCTGCAGGAGCCGGAGCTGAAGCCCCTACAGGAGCTCTGCCAAAGAGGCTCTAAAATTATCAAACGGATCCAAAAAATTACCAAAATTACACATGAATCAATCTATGTTCTCTATTGCCTATACAAAAAAGTTTTGAAGTCAAACCCCAATTCGACCGTCACTTTGACTCCAAATCCTACCGAATCCTTCTCAACTCTACGATACTTCCTTGGAGATACTTCAGTTTGTAAACATCGGACGTGACAGATTGTGCGAAACCTTCTCAATTTTTTACCATAGCCTCCACATGTGGTATCATGAGATCTTGACAAATCTCATGATTTTCAGACTTCGTTTGCTTTTTTTAGAATTTAAAAATCATTTGGCCACACGTTCATGGTCGTGTTTCCTGAACAAGATGTTCGAAATTTCTTTTCATTTCCCGGGTAAGGCCTCATACCGGACTCAATAACATGAATATAATTTTTCTACTCATTTTATTCTATTATTTGAATCACTTGCGGTTCAAATTTGACTTATACCAAAAAAATTCTTGAAATTCAATAAATTAATTAAATATAGAAAACAGATCCAGAAATATACCAAATCTTAACATGGAGTACCACATGTTGTATGTGGAGAGTAGAAAAAGTTTCAAGGTCAGAAGAGAAAAAAAATTTATTATGTCATGCGGGTATAGCTCAAATTCAATTTATATCAAGTAAAATTCTATAATTACACTTAATAAATTAAAATTATCAAACGGAGCCAAAAAAATTACCAAAATTACACATGAATCAATCCATGTTCTCTATTGCCTATACAAAAAGTTTTGAAGTCAAACCCTAATTCGACCATCACTTTGACTCCAAATATTACCGAATCCTTCTCAACGCTACGATTCTTCTTCTGAGATACTTCGTTTTGTAAATATCTTACGTGACAGATTATGCGAAAACCTTCTCAATTTTTTACCATAGCCTCCACATATGATATCATGAGATCTTGACAAATCTTATGATTTTCAGACTTCGTTTGCTTTTTATAGAATTTAAAAACAATTTGGCCACACGTTTGTAGTCGTGTTTCGTGAATAAGATGTTCAAAATTTCCTTTCATTTCCCGCATAACGCCTCACACTGGACTCAAGAACATGAATATCATTTTTTCACTCATTTTATTCCATTAATTGAATCACTTGCGGTTCAAATTTGAGTTATACCAAAAAATTACCTTTATATGAAATAAATTAATTAAATATAGCAAACAGACCGAGAAATATATCAAATTTTAACATGGAGTACCACGTACTGTATGTAGAAATTAGAAAAAAAATTTAGGACGGCAGAGGGAAAAAAGTTTAGGCTTTGCCGAGAGCCAACAAAAAACACTCGGCAAATAATGTCTTCGCCGAGTGTCACTAACGGACACTTAGCAAAGTGCTAACGGCAGGGCACTCCAGCTGGTGGCCGTTGCACGGCTAGCGCACATGCTGCTATTTTGCCGAGTGCATGATGTTTGCCGAGTGTTTCGTTATTATTTGCCGAGTGTTTACTTTAAGGCACTCGACAAAGAGGGCTTTTGCCGAGTGCAATATGTTTGCCGAATGTTTCCACGGTGACACTCGGCACACAGCAGGTTTGCCGAGTGCCCGATGAAATGCACTCGGCAAACCCTCAGTCACTCGGCATACCTACTGTTTCGTGTAGTGTTTCCACCAGGCAATTTGGCAGCATCTCAATCTATCTTTCTCGATCAACAATCAAGGGAAGTTTTGTCATTCCACTGGACATTATACTTTTCTAAGTTCTAATAACCTATCGTCGTCCACGGGCGGTCCGCCATTAATGCATGACGTAGTTTTATGGTTTCGTCTAGACATCATAATGTAGACGATCCCGACGCACGCACGTGTATGTGAACAGTGGTTGATGGGGACGTTGTTAGCTTTATGCGAGATGCAATTTTGCATGAGAAACTTAAGATACTGTTGATTTAGATACATAAATAAGTTCAAATTTAGAAAAAAGTTTTTTTTATTATGATTTCAATAAAATTATTGGAGTTTTGCTATTTATTTCTCCATGCATGTAAACTATATATTGTAGCTGGATTTTCGGTTGCGTGCGCGTTCATACCCATACAAGTTGTCAAGTGGCTCATCGACAGAGTTAGCCACAAAAATCTACATCATGCATCCATAGCACTTTCCAATTGGCAATTTGGCAGCATCTTGGTCTATTCTTCTCGGTCAACAATCAAGGGCAGTTTTGTCATTCCACTGGACATTATACTTTTCTACTACTAAGTTCTAACCTCTCGTCGTCCCCGGCGGCCAGCCACCGGCCACCTATAAATACACGCACGCTCCATCCCAAACTTCCCAAGCAGCTCGCCTAGTTCCACAAGAAAGAAGCTGGCATAGTAGCACCAATGGCCGCCTCCTCATCCTCGATCCTCCTGCTCCTGGCCGCCACCTTCACAGCCAGCGCTAGCGCGGCGACCTTCACCATCAAGAACAACTGCGGGTTCACGGTGTGGTCGGCGGCGACGCTAAAAGGTTCTAATGGCTAGAGGGGGGTGAATAGCCTAATAAAATTTCTACAACAACACTCAACAAAATGGTTAGACAATTATGAGGCGAAGCAAGAGTTGCGCTAGCCTACTCAAAATGCAAGCCACCTACCATAATTCTAGTTTAGATGGAGTATATCCACACAATAGCTATATCACTACACTAAGGTAGTGTACTCTCAAATTCTAACTAAAGAGCCACACTAACCAAACTAACAAGCTCTCACAACTAGTTACACTAAAGAGCTTGACAACTAGTTTGCGGTAATGTAAAGAGTGGGCAAGAAGGTTATACCGCCATGTAGATGTATGAACTAATCAATCACAAGTGTGGATAACAATGAAGACCAATCACCTCGGAATCAAAGGATGAACACAATGATTTTTTACCGAGGTTCACTTGCTTGCCGGCAAGCTAGTCCTCGTTGTGGCGATTCACTCACTTGGAGGTTCACGCGCTAATTGGCTTCACACGCCAAACCCTCGATAGGGTGCCACACAACCAACACAAGATGAGGATCACACAAGCCACGAACAATCCACTAGAGTACCTTTTGGCTCTCCGCCGGGGAAAGGTCAACAACCCCTCACAATCACCACGATCGGAGCCGGAGACAATCACCGCCCTCCGCTCAACGATCCTCGCTGCTCCAAGCCATCTAGGTGGCGGCAACCACCAAGAGTAACAAGCGAAACCACAGCGAAACACGAACACCAAGTCCCTCTAGATGCAATCACTCAAGCAATGCACTTGGATTCACTCCCAATCTCACTATGATGATGAATCAATGATGGAGATGAGTGGGAGGGCTTTGGCTAAGCTCATAAGGTTGCTATGTCAATGGAAATGGCCAAAGATATGAGCTATAGCCGGCCATGGGGCTTAAATAGAAGCCCCCAGGAAATATAGCCGTTATACCCCTTCACTGGGCATAACGCGGGCTGACCGGACGCTCTGGTCAGTTGACCAGACGCTGAGCCCCCAGCGTCCGGTCGCTCGTAGTCAGCCACGTGTCTGACTCCAACGGTCATCTGCCTTGCCCGAACGGACGCTCTAGTCAGTTGACCGGACGCGACCCTCAACGTCCGGTCATTTCCAGTAAGGGTCCAGAACTGATTTTTATTGACCGGACGCGTCCGGTCATGCTTGACCGGACACAACCCAGCGTCCGGTGCTTAACCCTAAGCGCTGTGCAGACCGACCACTTGACCGGACATAGCCCTTCAGCGTCCGGTCTCCGAGCGACCCAACGTCCGGTCAATAGACCGACGCCAGCATCTCACTGTTACACATGACCGGACGCGCCGGTCCCTCAGAGGTCCAGCGTCCGGTCACTGTATAACCAGCGACACTAACTCGTTTTTACTTCTAACTTCTCCACCCTTGCTCAAATGTGCTAACCACCAAGTGTATCACCTTGTGCACATGTGTTAGCATATTTTCATAAATATTTTCAAGGGTGTTAGCACTCCACTAGATCCTAAATGCATATGCAATGAATTAGAGCATCTAGTGGCACTTTGATAACAGCATTCCGATACGAGTTTCACCCCTCTTAATAGTATGGCTATCAACCCTAAATGTGATCACACTCTCTAAGTGTCTTGATCACCAAAACGAAATAGCTCCTATGGTTTATACCTTTGCCTTGAGCTTTTTGTATTTCTCTTTCTTCTTTCCAAGTCCGAGCACTTGATCATTACCATGGCATCATCTTCATCATGCTATGATCTTTGTTTGCTTCACAACTTGGAGTGTGCTACCTATCTCATGATCACTTGATAAACTAGGTTAACACTTAGGGTTTCATCAATTCACCAAAACCAAACTAGAGCTTTCAATCTCCCCCTTTTTGGTAATTGATGACAACCCCATGTTTCTTGCCCAAGCATATTTACCATTTGTAAAAGAATATGGACAAGTTTCATGAACCCCAAATGGTAGCAATTGCTCCCCCTACATATGTGCTAAGAGTTTGGATTTTAGCTTGCACATATGCTTATATAGGAAATATAGGAGTCAATGTCTACCAAATGATGCTAAGGTATAAAAGATGGACCTTTGAAGCGTGATACCAATCGGAGTGCACCATTATACCATCCTTAGCATCATGGTTAGCTTTCTATCACTTGGAAACATACTTTGAAAAGATACCACTTGTAAAAACTCACTTGAAAAAGAAAGTTATATAGTGATTTCATCTCATCATTTAATCTTACAACTATCATACACCACACAAGCATGGATATTGAAATTTAAAACTTGTGCCATGCAAGCAAAACATATGAAATGCACATTCAAATGCACCATACAAGTTCATGAGCTTGCTCCCCCTACTTGTGTGCTCAAAATTTTAATTTATCCCTTTCCTTTTTCACTTCTCTCCCCCTATGTCATATGTCAAGTATATCTTTATGTTTCTCCCCTTTGTCACTATTTTTACTACTATCTTTGTTTCTCTCCCCCTTTGTCATCAATGACCACAAAGGTTCTAAATGAAGATAATATTACTTGTAGGGTCGAGATTATCAATGTCAATCAATGGGGTGAGGATCATTTTCCCAAATTTGGTCCAATCTAGATGATTTGCCAAAGATATTTAACTCGGTTTGATCCAAGGACAAGCTTCTTCACACCTCCTAATAAGGGTTATCTTGTACCATGTTGAGTTAAACACTTAGAGCTTATTTTCTAGATTAAACACTAGGTTTACAAGCCCATAAACATGTCATATGCTATCACTAGATCAAGTCAAGCATAGAAGCAATAGTGATACCATATAAACATCAAATTCATTTGATTTTCATGAATGAGCCTAATGAAATAGAACCACTTGAAAGGTCCAAATAAAATTGAATATGTGACTAGATGCACTAATCATGTCCTTAGCATAGATGTATGTCATGCCAATCAACTTTTACCTTGGATTGCTTTAAGGAGAGGCATGTCATATAAGTCAGGGGTGCATCAACACATATTTGAGAAATCCAATATGTTCAACTTATTCCTTAGCTTGCAAAACCTTTTCTCATCCAATGGCTTGGTGAATATGTCGACAAGTTGATCTTCGGTGCCTATACTCTCAATGCAAATGTCCCCTTTTTGTTGGTGATCTCTTATGAAATGATGGCGGACATCAATGTGCTTTGTTCTTGCATGTTGAACCGGATTGTTGGTTAGCTTGATTGCACTCTCATTGTCACATAGCAATGGCACTTTCTTGAACTTGATTCCAAAATCACTCAAAGTGGCCTTCATCCAAAGTATTTCTGCACAACAACTACCGGCGGATATGTATTCGGCTTCGGCGGTTGATAATGCAACACTATTTTGTTTCTTTGATGACCATGAAACAAGTGATCTTCCCAATAATTGACATGTGCCCGAGGTGCTCTTCCTTTCAACCTTGCATCCCGCATAATCCGAGTTGGAGTAACCAACTAGCTCAAACTTTGCTCCTTTGGGATACCACAAACCAACATTTGGTGTATGCTTCAAGTACCTCAATATCCTTTTTGTAGCCTTCAAATGACTTTCTCTTGGTGAGGCTTGAAATCTTACACACATGCATACACTAAACATGACATCTGGCCTTGATGCGGTCACATAGAGTAGGCTTCCAATCATAGACCGATACAACTTTTGATCCACCATATCTCCACTTGCATCACTATCCAAGTTGCCATTTGTTCCCATTGGTGTGCTAATGACTTTGCTATCAATCATGCCAAACTTCTTGATCATGTCCTTGATATACTTGCCTTGACTCACAAATGTACCATTCTTTAATTACTTGATTTGAAGACCAAGGAAGTAACTCAATTCTCCAATCATGGACATCTCAAACTCATTAGCCATCATCTTTCCAAATTCATCACAAAAGTCTTGATTGGTTGATCCAAATATGATGTCATCAACATATATTTGCAATACAAATAGATCTTTTCCAATCTTCTTGATGAAAAGAGTGGTCTCAACCTTGCCCATTGTGAACCCCTTAGAGAGTAGGAAATCCCTCAATCTCTCATACCATGCTCTAGGTGCTTGCTTCAAGCCATACAATGCTTTCTTCAACTTGTACACATGGTTGGGCTTCTTGTCATCTTCAAAACCGGGAGGTTGCTCAACATACACAAGCTCATTGATGTACCCATTTAGAAATGCACTTTTCACATCCATTTGGTACAACTTAATGTTGTGGGCACAAGCATAGGCTAGCAAAATTCTAATTGCTTCCAATCTAGCAACTGGGGCATATGTTTCTCCAAAGTCAAGACCTTCAACTTGTGTATATCCTTGTGCTAACAATCTTGCTTTGTTCCTTACTACTATCCCATCTTGATCTTGCTTGTTTCTAAAGACTCATTTGGTTCCAATCACATTGTGTCCCTTTGGTCTCTCTACTAACTCCCATACTTGATTTCTTGTGAAATTATTCAACTCTTCATGCATAGCATTTACCCAATCAACATCCTTCAAAGCTTCATCTATCTTCTTTGGTTCAATGGATGACACAAATGAGAAATGCTCACAAAATAATGCTAATCTTGATCTAGTTTGCACACCTCTTGAAATATCACCAATGATAGTGTCCAATGGATGATCCCTTGCAATATTGGTTGGTTGGAGGATAGGAACTTGATTGCTTGCACTTGCATGATCATTGGGTTGAGAAGATGTACTAGCCACTTGATCTTGTTCATTGTCATGAGAGTCACTTGCACTAGCTTGATGTGTATCATCTTGCACATATGAGTTAGAGAGTACTTGCACTTGATCATCTTCATCATCATTTACTTGCCTAGGCCTCAATTCACCAATATCCATGTTCTTCATGGCATTTGAAAGTTGAATGCCTCTAACATCTTCCAAGTTCTCATTCTCTACTTGTGAACCCTTGGTTTCATCAAATTCAACATCATGAACTTCCTCAAGAGTACCTCTATCCAAATTCCAAACT